CCGATTTACAAACCCCAACATACGAATATTAAAGAATATTGTGGATAAATTAATGGACAATCGCTCACATTTTAAAAAAATACTAAAAAATAGACGTACGTTTATAATATACAGGTTTAAACAAAAATATGTTTTTTACCATACGTTTAAGACACTGTAGAGTGGCAAAACCGTATATTGTTCTAAATTAAGTTTTATTTATCAAGTCACATCTATTCTTAACAGTTTTGTTTTTGGTTCACCTCGATATATTTATTTTTGTGGAAAATATGGATTTTTAAAAAAAACATTGCAATTTCCAATATTTTTCTGTATGAAGAACTAAGGTTGCTATGGTCCATCCATAGCCTATGGAGGATGACAGTGACAGTTTTGTTGAATCATCCCATACTTGGACATGTCATATACAGCTTTCAAAAGCTATCAAATTGTATTTTGTAAATTAATGTGTTAATTTTGAGGTGTCTTCTTACTTTTAAAAATGTCTCCGACTAATGTTGCCCTTTGTACTTTACTTCTTGTGACGTTTAAAACACTTGCCATGTAATACTGTGACCGTTCATCCTGGATTAAATTAATGGCTCTGGCAACATCAGTCGGAGACATATCCATTTTTTAAAGTAAGAAGACACCTCAAAATTTAAACATTAAATTGCAAACAACAATTTTATAGCTTTTGAAAGCCGTGTATGACATGTCCAAGTATGGGATGATTCAACAAAACTGTCACTGTCATTCTCCATAGCCTATGGATGGACCATAGCAACCTTAGTTCTTCATACAGAAAAATATTGGACATGCAATGTTTTTTTAAAAAATCCATATTTTCCACAAAAATAAATATATCGAGGTGAACCAAAAACAAAACTGTTAAGAATAGATGTTACTTGATAAATAAAACTTAATTTAGAACAATTTACGGTTTTGCCACTCTACAGAGTGTCTTAAACTTATGGTAAAAAACGTATTTTTGTATATTATAAACGTACGTCAATTTTTTAGTAATTTTTTAAAATGTGAGCGATTGTCCATTAATTTATCTACAATATGATTTAATATTCGTTTAAATGCGACATCAAATAAAAAAGTTATTTGCGATTGAAATTCATCGAAAATTTGTGTGGATCGATTATTTTGCAGTGTATATAAACAAACACTTTATTATCATGAAAAAACGCAGTTTTAGTGCCGCACCCGTTACAATGGAAATACCCTATGTTGAACAAATATTAGAAATATTTTTCAACACTAAAACAAAAAAAACAAAGTGCCAACGATGTTGGCATCTTCAAAAGTAAAAAAAAATAGTTCAAATATTTCATTTTACAAAATTATCGGTTTAAACTTGTAAAGATAGTCGATAAATTTTTAATACGAAAATTCTCACATTACATTTAAATGGAAGTTTTAAATTTTAAAGTGGTAATTTAGGGATAAAAAAATTATCGACCATCATTTAAATTTACAAATTCAAACCAAAACTTTTTATTTTTAACAATTTTAAATTGATACATTTTTAACAATTTTAAATTGATACATTTTTAACACAAACTGTATTACTACATTTAAATGTAAGTCGATAATTTTTATTTTTTTTCCCTAACTATCATTTAAATGACTCTTTACAAAATAAACCAATAATTTGCATTTTATATTTAAAATATTTTTTGATTCTCAATTGTTTTGGTTACACTGGTTACACACTTGAGTTCTGTTGCGTTGCGTTGCCAGTTGTAAAAAATTGTTACTAAAAATTTTTCTTTTAAAAAATAAATAAAAACTCAATAAATACAAAAGTTTTATGCCCTTAAAGATCTAATACCCTTCTGTATTTATTTACTCATCCAGCTATTAGCCTAAGCAATGATTAGGAAATTCAGTACCTATTTTAAAAACTCCATAACCACAAAATTAAATTTTTAATTTTCTTTCTTTTTTTCTTTCTATTTACTGAGATGAAATTAGGACAACATTCAATTTGTGTAAATAAAGTTAAGATATTTGAAAGAAATACACTAGATTATGTCATAAAAGTTGCCAGATTTTGTTTGAATTTACCTTAATTACAAAAATGACATAATCAACAATTAATTTTGTCATTTTTGTAATTTAGCAAAATTTGGCAACTTACCAACCATAACATAATAAATTAAATTAGCAACCAGATTAGCCTAAAGGTCCTCGTCGATCAGTGGCTTACTTTTTGGTAGGATAAAGGTTATTATAAATTATTTTTAGTCTTTAGAATTTAGAAAAAAGTTTCAGGACCTATTTTAATATATTACATTAATTACATAACATCCTGTATGTATTTGTATTTTAAATCTCTTGACACTATTTTTAAATACTAAAAAATTTAACTTTATCAATTTAGACATTTTTTTGCAAAAATTGATTGAAAATAATATTGTTTAATACAGAAGTAAACAGTTGGTAAATTTTGTCTTTCAATACATGATAAATATTTTAAATTTATAAATGTAAACGTAAAATTTTAAACCAATAAAATTTTATATCTAATAAATGTTAAAACACGCCATAGGTGTTGGGGAATATTTCTAATATTTGTTATTATTATTTTCGTGGTTTCAGGATTTCAAACAACCCAGGAACTTTCAGCAGAGAAACCAAGTTCTCTTCCAGAAATTTTGCTCCGTTCTAAACAACAACGACGCTATAAAAGAGTTCAAAAAGTACTCGGATCTGTTCAGGAAAAACGAGCTACCGACTGCCAATTACTACGACCATTGCAGGGAAATTCTCGGCGACAGTTTCGAGGAAATTTTCCCGGAGCTGTTGGTCTTGCTGCCCGACATAACCAAGCAGCAAGAGCTGTACAAAGTGCACAACGGCGGGTCGAAAAATTCCTTGACTGTCTGTCAGAATTGCGCGCAGGTCATATTGAAAAACGAACTGACCGAGCACTACAACTACCACAAGCTCGATAATCACTTCCCCAGTTTGGGGAAAGCGCAGCAAGTCGGCAACAGCGCATGGGGTAAATAATTGAATAATTTAAGTACGCGACAGTCAATAACTGTTAATTGTTATATGAAGAATAAAGTACAAACGTAGATTATTCTTCCAAAGTTTTTATGTTTGTACGAATGTGAGAAAAGCAATAAATTTGTTTAGCCTGCCTGCCCGTAAATATACGTATTTATTTTTTTGTTTTTCAACCGATGAAATCGCTTTTTTATCACTAATATGTTTTAAGTTGTTGATGTAAATACAATCGTGTACATTTGATATAGTTTTGTAACAAGAACGAGAATATGTTGTATATTTTTCAATAAAATCTATTGTTAAGTTAATTCATGCATTTTTTTTAACACCCCATCGTATTTTTTTAATTTGTGCTACTGTGCGGTTTTCCCCACTATTTTTTTAAATTGCAAGTTTTTCCCAATATTTATTTAATTTTTACAACTGTTTGATTTTTCCCTACTAATTTTAAACTTTTCACGACTGATTTTGCTCTAAAGGATAAAATGCTGTGCGAGTAAAAAGTATATTTTATCCCATAGTGCGAAATCGCACAGTGGACACATTTGAAAAATGGTTGGACAATTTCGCACAGTGGTGCAAATTTTAAAATTAATGGCAAAAATTCGTACAGTGGCACAAATTAAATAAAAAGCAGGAAATATTCGCACAGTGGACACATTTGAAAAATAGTTGGACAAATTCGCACAGTGGTGCAAATTTTAAAATTAATGGCAAATATTCGCACAGTGGACACATTTGAAAAATGGTTGGACAAATTCGCACAGTGGCACAAATTAAATAAAAAGCAGGAAATATTCGCACAGTGGACACATTTGAAAAATAGTTGGACAAATTCGCACAGTGGTGCAAATTTTAAAATTAATGGCAAATATTCGCACAGTGGACACATTTGAAAAATGGTAGGACAAATTCGCTCAGTGGTACATATTTTAAAAATTAAAATTGCACTGAGATAAAATACTCAATGGTCCCACACTAAAAAAAATGTGGTAAATTATCAAAATGTCGCACAGTGGGGTAAAAAAACAAACATGGTAACAATACTTCTCTGAAAAACGCTTTAGTGAAAAATTTTAAAATTTGTACCAGTGTGCGAGTAAAAAGTATTTTTTTCAATAATTTTAAAATTTTCGCCACTGATTTCACACAAAAGGATGAAATACTGTGCAAGTAAAAAGAATATTTTATCCCATAGTGCACAATCGTACAGTGGTGCTAATTTAAAAATTGGTGGCAAAAATTTTAAAGTTTTATAGTTATTTACGTGTCAAGCTTTGTAAATGAATCTTTACGGGCGAGCTGGAAGTTTAATCCAGTGAGACTAGTAAAGATTAATTGCAAAGCGTGACACGTACAAACTTTTATTTTCACCTTTAGATAACGATTTTTAAATTTAAATATTTCAATTAATGTGTCAAATGTGTCATTTCATTTCATAAATTGCTTTTTCTACAAGCCTGTAAAACTTTACAGGTCTTTTATACAAGCCCGTAAAATATTACAGGTCTGTTCTCATAATGTATCATTTACTTGGATACAAAAACAACAAAATTAACCTATAAAGTGTCATTTACTAAGAAGGTGGAAATAAAAAATAAAAATGGATAAAATACTTAATGGTCGCACAGTAAAACAAAATGTGCAAAATTACCAAAACGTCGCACAGTGGGGTAAAAACTAACAAACATGGCAACAATACTGAAAATAAAACAAGTCGATGATATGTATTTCTATATTGTTATATTTTTCTCTATTGTAGTGACATTTTATATTATCGCAGATTTTCTTACTTTTTATTTAATTTTTAGGACTGTTCGTTTTTCCACTAATTTTAAAATTTGCACCACTGTGCGAGTAAAAAGTATATTTTGTCCCATAGTGCATAATTTAAAAAATATGTAGAAAAAAAATTTGCACTGTGGTACAATTTAAAAAAAAAATTGGAACAAAACTTACCTTAAAAACGGGTTTAATATTAAAAATAAAACAAGTTAATGGGATGTATTTCTATATTGTTATATTTTCTTTCTATGGTGACATATTATGTTACAAATCGTTAGAAAGTATGTACAAAGAAATTATCATAACGCTACACATTTAATATTTAATCCTATACATTACTTTTGTGAAAGGCACAAGTCATGTATATATTATTTAATAATATACACAGTGTTTAAAGAAATAATTGTAGAGAACGTGGCTTGTGTTAACGACTAGATATATTAACCACGCTTATGCACCAAAAATGGAATGTTTACTATTTAGGCCCTATTTTTAATAAAAATTATTACGTATCACTTTTTATGGATTGTTTTTTATATGTATGTTCTACACTAACTAGACAGTGTAAATCTATCCTTAATCCCAAAACACTTAAAAATAATACTTTTTATATTATTTTCTTTTTAATAAAGTAAATCACATTTTTATATAAATTAACTATGTAATGAGGTATTTGTCCTGAACGAACCCCAATTTTTATAAAAATAAAACTATATACATTAAAAATTGTTCGAGCAGTTCAAAACTCCTAAAAATCAAAATAAAAAATCTCTATCACTTTCCACGACGATAAGTCGTCGAAAATAAAAATTGCTTAAAACCTGGACTCGTCCCCCCTCAAAAAACTGTACCTAATACTTTCGTACTAGGGCTTCAATCTTTTGAACCCGGCGCCGTCCTGCCCCAACTTCAGTTCCTCGTACAGGGTCGGATTCACTTCCGAGCACGCCGCTGGCACATGCAGGGCCTCGTTTTTCCAGCCCACCCCGCCCCCGGAGGCGGACGACACGGATATGCCGCCCCCAACCAAGGCGGTGTTGCCGTTAGTTGCGGCCGTGGCCGAGGTGCCGTTGTTGGATATGAGGGTTTCGTTTTGGCCACCTTGAGGTACCTGGATGGAAAATGTTGAAAAATACAACTGTCGTATGAAATTTAGATGGCATAGGAAAAATGACATCAGGGACAGATGAAGGCATTGTTTCTTCCTAAGAAGACTAACCAAATTTTTAATGCAAAACCCTAAATCTTCCAAAAACCAGAATTTGGAAAATAGATTGCATTCAAAATAGGAAAAACAACATCAGGGATGGATGATGGCATTGTTTCTTCCTAAGATCGCAACCAAAAGAAAATATAACTTTCAATGAAAAACCCTAAAACTTCAGTAGTTTAATATTTGGAAAACTGAAAGTATGCAATATAGATATCAGGATGGATGATGGCATAGGAAAAATTGCATCAGGGAAAAATGAAGGCATTATTTCTTCCTAAGAACACTAACCAAAGAATATCTAATTTTTAATGCAAAGCCTTAAATCTTCCAATATCCAGAATTTGGATAATAGATTGCATTCAAAATAGATAGCATAGGAAAAACAACATCAGGGATGGATGATGGCATTGTTTCTTCCTAAGATCGCAACCAAAAGAAAATATAACTTTCAATGAAAAACCCTAAAACTTCATTAGTTTATTATTTGGAAAACTGAAAGTATGCAATATAGATAGCATAGAAAAAATAGCATCAGGGAAAGATGAAGGCATTATTTCTTCCTAAGAAGACTAACCAAAGAATATCTAATTTTTAATGCAAAACCCCAAATCTTCCAATATCCAGAATCTGGAAAATAGATTGCATTTAAAACAGATAGCATAGGAAAAACAACATCAGGGATGGATGACGAAATTGTTTCTTACTAAGATCGCTACCAAAAGAAAATATAACTTTCAATGAAAAACCATAAAACATCAGTAGTTTAATATTTGGAAAACTGAAAGTATGCAATATAGACAGCATAGAAAAAATAGCATCAGGGACAGATAAAGGCATTGTTTCTTCCTAAGAAGACCAACGAAAGAATATCTAATTTTTAATGCTAAACCCTGAATCTTCCAAACCCAGAATTTGGAAAATGGGTTGCATTCAAAATAGATAGCATAGGAAAAACAACATCAGGGATGGATGATGGCACTGTTTCTTCCTAAGATCGCAACCAAAAGAAAATATAACTTTCAATGAAAAACCCTTAAACTTCACTAGTTTATTATTTGGAAAACTGAAAGTATGCAATATAGACAGCATAGAAAAAATGACATCAGGAAAAGATAAAGGCATTGTTTCTTCCTAAGAAGACCAACCAAAGAATATCTAATTTTTAATGCAAAACCCTAAATCTTCCAATTTCCAGAATTTTGAAAATAGATTGCATTAAAAATAGATAGCATAGAAAAACAACATCAGGGATGGATGATGGCATTGTTTCTTCCTAAGATCGCAACCAAAAGAAAATATAACTTTCAATGAAAAACCCTAAAACTTCAGTAGTTTATTATTTGGAAAACTGAAAGTATGCAATATAGACAGCATAGAAAAAATGGCATCAGGGAAAGATAAAGGCACCGTTTCTCCCCAAGAAGACCAACCAAAGAACATCAAAAATTTTTCACCAACCTGTATGTGATCCATGTTGACCTCCCTCAGGTAACTGGGATTCTCGAAGGCGATGTTGTTCGTGCTCTTCATGCCCAGCATCTTCTTCGTCCGCACGAACCAAACGGCGCCGCAGACGATGGCGGCCACGACGGCGAGCGCCAAGATGACCGCCACCGCGACGCCGGCGTGACCGCCGTCGCTGTCGTGACTCGCGGCGGAAGTGACGTACTTCTCGCCGGGCGTGAACTTGATCGGATCCGTCGTCGTCGAAGTCCCGTCGTGGTTTCCTTGAAAAGAAACGTTCGAATAGCTCGAGTAGTTCAAATGTCCCGCACCATTATTTATTTTATTACCTGCTTTGACGACCGCTTCGTAGGTCACCCCCTCCACCAACTGACCGATGGTCAAGAAAGTGGAAGCGGTGTCTTCCTTTTTGCCGTTTTTGTTGCCCGGTTTGTCGATGCTCCTCCAGAACACCCTGTACAGTTCTACGGTGTGGGGGTTTTTGATCGGAGGGTCCCAGTGAATTTTCACGGTGCGGGCGTCCAGGAATTCCACCGTCACGTTTTGAGGCGGACCGGGCAGTTTTTCCCTTAAAAAAAAGAATCATGATTTAAATGATCCTATTTTTTATGACCACAACAACAACAACTCACCTTCCCTCGTGGAAGCAGCTCATGATCTGCTTGGTGTAGCTCAGCACGCACATTTTGTTGTTCAGCAGCGGCTCTCCCCTGCAGTAATCCAAACATCTGCGCGGCACGTTGTTTTGCGCGCAGCAGTTTCTGTGATCGGAGCCGTCTGCCGCGCATTTCATCAACTTGTCGAAGTCCGCGAGACATTCGGGTTTGTCGATGACCGCGTCGATGTCCAAGTGGAACGAACACGCGTCCATGCAAGCGCTCGTCACGTTTTGCTCCATGCAACATTGCGTCACGTTTTGAGTGGCGGCAACGTTGCGGATTCGCACCGACACCGGCTGAGTTGCGCTACCTGAAACACCGCCATGTTTTGATGTCACGTTTTAGTGAAAGATTGCTTAGATAGCATAGCAAAAACGACATCAGGGAAAGATAAAGGCATTGTTTCTTCCTAAGAAGACTAACCAAAGAATATAAAATTTTTAATGCAAAACCCTAAATCTTCCAATATCCATAATTTGGAAAATAGATTGCCATTAAAATAGATAGCATAGCAAAAACAACATCAGGGATGGATGATGGTATTGTTTCTTCCTAAGATCGCAACCAAAAGAAAATATAACTTTCAATGAAAAACCCTAAAACTTCAGTAGTTTATTATTTGGAAAACCGAAAGTATACAATATAGACAGCATAGAAAAAATAACATCAGGGAAATATAAAGGCATTGTTTCTTCCTAAGAAGACTAACCAAAGAATATATAATTTTTAATGCAAAACCCTATCTTCTAATATCCAGAATTTTGAAAATAGACTGTATTCAAAATGATGACATAGGAAAAACAACATCAGGGATGGATGATGGCATTGTTTCTTCCTAAGATCGCAACCAAAAGAAAATATAACTTTCAATGAAAAACCCTAAAACTTCAGTAGTTTATTATTTGGAAACCCGAAAGTATACAATATAGACAGCATAGAAAAAATAACATCAGGTAAATATAAAGGCATTGTTTCTTCCTAAGAAGACTAACCAAAGAATATATAATTTTTAATGCAAAACCCTAAATCTTCCAATATCCAGAATTTTGAAAATAGACTGTATTCAAAATGATGGCATTGTTTCTTCCTAAGATCGCAACCAAAAGAAAATATAACTTTCAATGAAAAACTCTAAAACTTCAGTAGTTTTATTTGGAAAACTGAAAGTATGCAATATAGATAGCATAGGAAAAATGGCATCAAGGAAATATAAAGGCATTGTTTCTTTATAAGAAGACTAACCCAAAAATATCTAATTTTTAATGAAAAACCCTAAACCTTCCAATATCCAGAATTTGAAAAATAGATTGCATTCAAAATAGATAGCATAGGAAAAACAACATCAGGGATGGATGATGGCATTGTTTCTTCCTAAGATCGCAACCAAAAGAAAATATAACTTTCAATGAAAGACCCTAAAACTTCAGTAGTTTATTATTTGGAAAACTGAAAGTATGCAATATAGATAGCATAGGAAAAATGACATCAGGGACAGATAAAGGCATTGTTTCTTCCTAAGAAGACCAACCAAAGAATATCTAATTTTTAATGCAAAACCCTAAATCTTCCAATATCCAGAATTTGAAAAATAGATTGCATTCAAAATAGATAGCATAGGAAAAACAACATCAGGGATGGATGATGGCATTGTTTCTTCCTAAGATCGCAACCAAAAGAAAATATAACTTTCAATGAAAAACCCTAAAACTTCAGTAGTTTATTATTTGGAAAACCGAAAGTATGCAATATAGATAGCATAGAAAAAATGGCATCAGGGAAATATAAAGGCATTGTTTCTTCCTAAGAAGACCAACCAAAGAATATATAATTTTTAATGCAAAACCCTAAATCTTCCAATATCCAGAATTTTGAAAATAGACTGCATTCAAAATAGATAGCATAGGAAAAACAACATCAGGGATGGATGATGGCATTGTTTCTTCCTAAGATCGCAACCACAAGAAAATATAACTTTCAATGAAAAACCCTAAAACTTCAGTAGTTTATTTTTTGGAAAAATGAGAGTATGCAATATAGATAGCATAGAAAAAATGGCATCAGGGAAATATAAAGGCATTGTTTCTTCCTAAGAAGACCAACCAAAGAATATATAATTTTTAATGCAAAACCCTAAATCTTACAATATCCAGAATTTGAAAATGGACTACATTTAAAATAGATAGCATAGGAAAAACAACATCAGGGATTGATGATGGCATTGTTTCTTCCTAAGATCGCAACCAAAAGAAAATATAACTTTCAATGAAAAACCCTGAAACTTCAGTAGTTTATTATTTGGAAAACTGAAAGTATGCAATGTAGACAGCATAGAAAAAATGGCATCAGGGAAAGATAAAGGCATTGTTTCTTCCTAAGAAGACCAACCAAAGAATATCTAATTTTTAATGCAAAACCCTAAATCTTCATATCACGTTTTAGTGTCATGTTACGTATGTACTCACCAAAAGCGTTCTCAGCGTGACAATAATACTCCCCGACATCCATATCGTTAATCTTATTGATGGTAAGCAACATAGTGTACTTTTCATCCTCATCCTTCATCTTTTTGATACTGATATCGTACTTCCCGCCCTGTATAACCGGAGTGCGATCTTCGTGGTTCCTCCAGAATATCATTTTCGGCTCAGGTTCGGCCTCGACTTTGCACAGAAGCGTCACGGAATCGCCCATGTGCGCCATCGTAATACCGCTGGCTTGTATGTGAGGACCGTGACTTATGGTTATTTTTCTCGAAGCCTGCATCGGAGTACCGTAACCGTTATCGGCGTAGCACGATATCTGATCCATGTCGCGCGTCACGTTGTGCACCACCGTGACCATGTGGCGCGTCGTTTCCTGCCTCACCAGCCTTCCGGATAAATACAGCGAAATCGTCGGCATCGGAGTGCCCATGGCGATGCAGAGGATCGTCATCGACATCCCTTCTATGACCAGATTGATGGGGTGCACGGTTGGCGGCTAAAATGCCGCGAAATTAAAAAATCTTGCGGTCTGGGAAATAATTGAAGTTTGGCAACAAAGCGCTTACTCAAAACACACTTGAATGGTCGTCATTTTCATGACCGATAAATTAAAAATGTGATCTAAGCCATTACAAATTATTTTCCATTTATAAACCGCTTTGAAATGTATTTTAATGCGTTGCACGGTTGCCACATTTCAATAATTCCCTAAATGTAGGGATTTAAAAAAAATATTTATTGTACAGCGATTCTTTAAAACCTGTCTGCAATAATAACAAAAATAATTTGGTTTTAGCAAAAAAACAAAATACCTAAAATCTAGGAGTAAATGGAAATTTGGCAACAGTGCGTTGTTAAAGGGCGCCATTTTAATTGCTAATTAATTAAGAAAGTCTGTTAAGGTAATAAAGCGTTAATTATACGTAAAAATCGCTACTAGGTTGCCAGATTTTTGTAGAAAACTTGTATTGTTAATATTTAACATTCTCAACGATTTTTTAAAGTTTGTCTTCAAGAATAACAAAAATTATCTTGTTTTTGCAAAAAAAACCAAATACCTAAAATCTAGAATAAAATGGAAATTTGGCAAAGTTTATTGTCAATATTTAACATTTTCAGCGGTTTTTTAAAACCTGTCCACAGAATAACAAAAATTATCACGTTTTAGCAAAAAAAACACGAAATACCTAAAATCTAGAATAAAATTGAAATTTGGCAACTCGGCGAGTTGTTTAAAAACACTAAAATGGTGTTTAAGGGCGCCATTTTAATTACTAATAAATAAGGAATGTCTTTTAAGGCAATGAAATGTTAATTAGATGTAAAAATAGTTTTTAAATAGTGAATTTAATGCGTTAGGTTGCCATATTTCAAGAATTCTCCAAATTTAAGGATTTTTGTAGAAAACTTGTATTGTATTTATATATATTCTTAAATTTTGTATTGACTTGTCTTATATCATAGTATGTGATCTTTGGACCAATAAATATTATTATTATTAATATTATTATTATTTAACATTCTCAACGATTTTTTTAAGTTTGTCTGTGAGAATAATAAAAATTATCTTGTTTTAACACACCGAAATAAAGTTTAATGGTGTCATTTTGATGGTCAATAAACTAAGATAAATGTGTTGCAAGATTGATAGAATTAAAGAATTCCCCAAATTAGGAAAACAACAAAAATTATCATGTTTTTGTACAAAAAAAACAAAAATCTCCGAAAAATTAGAAATTAGGCAACATTGCAAACTTTAAAAAAACGCATTTGTATAATATTTTTAAGCAATTTAAAACATTTAACCAATTTAAAAACCCAAAATCTCTAAAATCACCAAAAAAAATCTCGTAAAAACCAAACAATTCAGTACATTGCAACGTTGCCGAATCTCGAAAATTCCCCAAATCGGGGATTTTTCAAAACTCACCTCGACAAAAGCGGGATACGCGGGATCCGTCCAGGCAATCAACGTTTCCGAAGGTTTGCTCGCACCTTTACCGGTCAAAGCCGTAACGTAAAGAATATACTGGGTGTTGGGGCTCAGGTCGGTTATCATGTGAGAAGTGACGCTGGTGTTTTTCGTTATGAAAGCGGCGTCTTGCGTCGACTTGTAATACAACCTGAATGCATAAAATAAAGTGTAACAAACATACAGCGAGTTGTACAATGTAGATAACTCACTTGTAGGTTATTTGTTCTGATGGGTGGCTAAACTCTGGCGGTTGCCAGGTGATCGTCACCCAGGTGGCGCTGTGCGTAGCCACGGCCAATGAGTGGGGAGGAGAGGTGACCGCGTTCACCCAATCAGCTACGAGAATCCGTAAGATCACTAGATTTTGATGTTTTTATGCTACTTACATGGTTTTGACGTTTTTATCATTTTAATTTCGATAAGCGATGATGGTAAGGAGGTGCCGTGTTTATTTCTGGATACCACGAACAAGTGGTAGAGCTCGTTTTCTTCCAAACCCGTTATGGTTGCCGTTGATAGGGTGGTGTTTATTTGCTAAAATATTTGGTCATATAGTCGAGGCCAAATCTGCATGGGTACACGTCATCAACGGCATATGACGACAGTAACTTTACAATTCAAAGTTGGTAATACTGACGTCATTATACCGCATTGATGACGTACACACAAACAGAAAAAATCTATTTGGAGAAAAGAGCTTACATTGTCCAATTTCAATAATGTTTCGTGCATTGAAGTATTATCAACTTTCTGGTAGTTTATCACGTAATCAGTGACATTGGAATTATCCGCAGGTGGTTCCCACTCGAGCATTATCGTATTTTTATCCACCACAGTAGCATGTAACTCTGATATGGGCCCAGGAAGCAAACCCGTTCCTAAAATCACCGTAATACAATAAACCCACCACACCACACCCCAAACCAAACTCACCCTCTTCGAAACACTGCGCAATGTTGCCGATGTAAGGTATACAGGTGGTGGCGGTACTCAACAAACTATCAACGATAACCCCGGAACATAAGGTTAGGCAACTGGGCGGTACACCCCTGCGCGTGCAGCAAGAGTTATGGTTCCTACCGCCGGCGCCGCACCTCAACAATTTGTGAAATTCAGCTGCGCACACCCCCGCAAACAGCTTCAAGTCCACCATACTAGCATCGTAGCTGCACAGAGGCATGCACATGTTGCTCAACTGAGCATCGATGCAACAAGACGTCACATTGTAGGTGGAGGCTTCCTCTATTTTTTCCTCCAGGATCTATTACAGTGTTAATATATTAATCTCCGATATTTTTTAATACTCTTGGGTCTTTCCATCTCATATCGACCAGGCGATGAGATGGAAGAACCCATTTGCAACTTTCATATAGAAAACCAACAGCAAAACCAGTCGTTTGAAGTCAACAATTCCCCAAACAATCAACATAATAATCAGTGTATCATTGGTTGTCATTTTGACGTTTCGCGCCATTCACGATCGCCCCATTTCATCGAAATTCTCGTGAACCAATGGAGCCCGCGACCCGCGGCTCCACCGCGTCGGAAAAGGTCATCAAAGTCGACGACATCGAAGCTGCAGCGATCGACGAACCGAGGAGATCGTCGAAACCCCCGAAGCTGGAAACGAAGCTGTTCGAAAGCAAGAATATAGAGCTGGTGGAAGACGTTTTCGGTTCTTACGTGGACGATCGAGGCGCCTGCCACAAGATCAAACGCTACACGTGGACGAATCACAACAAAATATCGGTGCAAGTCGTCAACTACGGAGCTAGGATCGTCTCTATGAAGCTGCCGGATCGCCACGGCAAACTGGAAGATATCGTGTTGGGTTGCGAGGATCTAGCCGGGTACATTTACTATGGTAAGCACTACCTGGGCGCTACAATTGGCAGAGTGACTGATACAATCAAGAACGCGACGTTTAAACTTGATGGTAAGCAATATTGGCTTACGCAGAACAAGGACCATCATCACTACAACGGCGGATGCGATGCTATTGATAAACAAGTCTGGACGACATACACTGAAGGAAAAAAGGTTGTGATGTCGTACATAAGCCCTCATAATGACAACGGATATCCAGGTGATCTTTTAATAAGGGTCACATTCGAGCTATCCAACAAGAACGAGTTCGATATCAACTACGAAGCTCATTCGACAGCTCCGACATTAGTAAACATATCCAATCTAACACACTTTAACCTAGCCGGTCACCATGCAGGTCCGGATGAGTTATATCGACACATGCTAACGATGAATTGCAACTGCTTCACCCCCAAAATCAAAGATTTACCTACAGGCGAAATTCTGAACGTACTATACACAGATTACGACTTTCAAGTACCCAAAATCCTCGGCAAAGTGATGGGGATAGTGCCCAAAGACGGCTTCGATCAAAATTTGTGCGTTAACCGAGGAGTAAACCAAGATGTTGGTTTTGTAGGCAGACTGCTGCACCCTCCAAGCGGGAGGATGGTGGAAATCTACAGCAACCAACCGGGAGTCAACTTAAACACGGCAAACTCCTTCGGATATGGTGATAGGATGTCGCTAGCTCAAATATTACCACCTCCAGTGCAAAATAAACCTCCGCAGAACGAGCTAGAGGAGAAACTGTTGCTCTTCAAGAAAGTGCACGAAGAGATGTTCGACGTTTTGAAGATTGATCGCGAGAAATCATTCAGAGAATTATTGGATCTCATTGTGAAAGTCAAGCTGCAAGAAAACATCAAGGACGTCCCATCCGACGTTAGTCTCAGTGAATTTGTTGTGACGCCTCTGCAGAAAAAATATTTGTCCAGTATACTGGCGTTCGTGTGTCAAGAGAGTAACAAGGAGTGCAAGGAGATTCAGGGGATTGTCGAGAAGCTTTTGAGCGTGGTTATAGTGAAGGAGGAAACCGATAGTTTAAAGAGCCAGCTCGAACTGACCGAGAGCGAGATTCTGGAAGAGTTGAGGGCCAAAAACGAGAAAATGAAGAAACAAGAAGATTACCTCAGCCAAGTCAGGAACAACGTGAGAAAACGAGTCAACTACATACCCCCTTACTACAAAAACTCCAAAAGCATCATAGGCAAGAACGGAGCCAGATACAGGATGCACAGCGGCATCTCCCTCCAAACTCAAAACTACCCGAACGCCGTAAACGTCACCAATTACCCGAGTTGTGTTGTCAAGCCAGGCGAAATTTATAACCATAAAATTACTTACAAATTCTGGATAAGGGCTGGTAACCCCGCTAAATGGATCAAGCGAAATAATCTTACAAACAGTCACTAGCGTTTATTTTGTGCTGTGAGTTAGTGTCGAACATCTTTCACCATGTCTCGTTTTGTGGTCAATAAAGAATTAAATTCGATGTGTTTTATTATTCCAATAAACGTTTTCGATAGTCGACTGCTAGGGCTGCCACAAAAAAGGTTGTCATGTCGTATATAGTGACAATGGATATCAATGTGATCTTTTAATAAGGGTTACATTCGATCTATCCAACAAGAACGAGTTCGATATCAACTACAAAGCTCATTCCACAGCTCCGACATTAGTAAACATATCCAATCTAACACACTTTAACCTAGCCGGTCACCATGCAGGTCCGGATGAGTTATATCGACACATTCTAACGATGAATTGCAACTGCTTCACCCCCAAAATCAAAGATTTACCTACAGGCGAAATTCCGAACATATTGTACACAGATTACGACCTCCAAGTGCCAAAAATCCTCGGCAAAGTGATGGGGATAGTGCCCAAAGACGGCTTCGATCAAAATTTGTGCGTTAACCGAGGAGTCAACCAAGATGTTGGTTTTGTAGGCAGACTGCTGCACCCTCCAAGTGGGACGATGGTGGAAATCTACAGCAACCAACCGGGAGTCAACTTAAACACGGCAAACTCCTTCGGATATGGTGATAGGATGTCGCTAGCTCAAATATTGCCACCTCCAGTGCAAAATAAACCTCCGCAGAAGGAGCTAGAGGAAAAATTGTTGCTCTTCAAGAAAGTACACGAAGAGATGTTCGACGTTTGATCGCGATAAATCATTCAGAGAATTCTTGGATCTAATTGTGAAAGTCAAGCTGCAAGAAAACATTCAGGACGTCCCATCCGACGTTAGTCTCAGTGAATTTGTTGTGAAGCCTCTGCAGAAAAAATATTTGTCCAGTATACTGGCGTTCGTGTGTCAAGAGAGTAACAAGAAGTGCAAAGAGACTTTGACTTACCCGACTCTCAGTTCTGAAAGTAAGTCGACTGCTAGGGCTGCCAGTTCCATGAGTGTTAACCGCCTCGATGTAAACTTCATAGTCGGTATCACTCTCCAAATTTTCCAGCACATAGGGGCTTTGCACTTTGGGTATGTCCATGTATTCACTTTCTTCTTCTGTAAAACTACGTATGTGCACGTTATAGTGTTGCACAGTGTCCCCCAAAGTTTTGGGGGGCGACCAGTGCAAAATAGCGAATTCGGTTTCGATGTTGGTGATGTGGACCTGAGTGGGGGCGCTGGGGAGAACCCCGTACCCTTGCAGCAAACAGTTGGTGTACTCCCCCATGTAACGGAGACACCTTAAAAAATGTCCAGGCTTACCTCGACGTTCCAGGATTTCAATATTCAATACTTACTTGAAGTAGTTAAAATCTATGCTGGAAACGTTCCCGGTGCACAACTCTTGGCAAATATCGGGCAGCCCTGAAACACCAACCTCTACATACACCGAACCAGCGAATAAACAAAACATTACCCCTAGCTCTGCAGCACGGCGTGTGGTCCAGGCCGTTGGTCAGGCAGCTGAACGTGTCCGCGGCCCAGGGCGCGCATATCATCAGGTCGGTGATTTCCACGGATTTCGTCTCGGATGGGTCGCAAAGTTTATTCACGCAGGTCTTGTGCCCTATGCCCTTGTTTGCGCAGCAGGCTTTGATGTCGGGGAGTTGCGGGGCCGGGGCCACGTTGGTTTGCTTCATTTTACCGGGTGTTAGGGTCAAAGATCGCACCTAAAAGTTATGAGGTGCTAGAATGTGTTTTTGGCAATCAAAAGTTTGTTTTTGACTACCTTAATTTGTTTTAACATCCTAATATAAATTTTTACATTTTTGACAATTTAGAGGTTGTTATTAATATTCCTTTTTTGACACTTTTATGATTTTGACACTTTAAAATGTGTTTTGACAATCTTAATATGTTTTTCATTCCAAATGTTGGTGTTAGGGTTAAAGATCGCACCCAAAAAGTTATGAGGTGTAAAAAATTATTCTAGAATGTGTTTTTGACAATCAAAAGTTTGTTTTTGACTACATAAATGTGTTTTAACATCATGAAATAGGTTTTGACATTGGAATTTTTTTAACAATCTAAAGGTTGTTATTAATATTCCCAGAAAGTTTTTTTGACACTTTTATGATTTTGACAATCTAAAATGTGTTTTGACAATCTTAGTGTGTTTTTCATTTCAAATGTTGGTGTTAGGGTTAAAGATCGCACCTAAAAAGTTATGAGGTGTAAAGAGATATTCTAGAATGTGTTTTTGACTTTGGAAATGTTTTTGACAATCTAGAGGTTATTAACATTCCTAAAAAGTTTTTTAACAATTTTATGTTTTTGACAATCTAAAATGTGTTTTGACAATCTTAGTGTGTTCATTCCAAATGTTGGTCTTAATCTAAAGGTTAATAAAATTCCCAAAAGGTTTTTTTGACAGTTTTATGTTTTTGACAATCTAAAATGTGTCTTGACAATCTTGGTATGTTTTCATTCCAAATGTTAGTGTTGGGTTTAAAGATCTAGAATGTGTTTTTGACAATTAAGTTTTATTTGACATACTAAAATAAGTTTTGACATTGAAAATGTTTTTGACAATCTAGAGGTTATTAAAATTCCCAAAAAGTTTTTTTGACAATCTAAAATGTGTTTTGACAATCTTAGCGGGTTATTTATTCCAAATGTTAATGGGTCAAAGATTGCACCTAAAAAGTTACGAGATGTAAAGAGTTATTCTAAAATGTGATTTTGACAATAAAAAATGTTTTTTACTACCTTAATGTGTTTTTAACGTACAAGTAAGTTTTGACATTAGAAATGTTTTTGACAATCTAGATATCAAGATATTCCTAGAAAGTTTTTTGTCACTTTTATGTTTTGACAATCTTAGTGTGTTTTTAATTTCAAATGTTAGTGGGGATCGCACACCAAAGTTTTAAGGTGTCCTAAAATAAGTTTTAATATTGGAAATGTTTTGAAAATATAAAGGTTGTTAGTAACATTCCCACATTTTTGACACTTTTATGTTTTTGACAATCTTATTATGTTTTTTATTCCAAATTGTATGCTTTACATACTTTAACAATATAAATTCCAAATTGATACTATGTTATGTTTATGACATTCTAAAATGATTTTGACATTCCAAAATGTGTTTATGACATTTATAAACATGATTTTGATGTTTTTTAATAAAAGGTGTGTTTTGACGTTCTTAAATTTTTCTGACTTACCTTATAACTGGGCAAACTACTTCCGTGCCTATTCAGAGCCGTCACAGTCACTTCGTACATGGTAAACGGCATCAAATTATTCAGAACCGTGGAATTCTGACCTATGGGCACCTTGACGCTGATGGTTTGCCTGGTAGAAGTTTTGTTCGAACCCACAGGTTCCAGGACCCGATCATCGAAAGTTTTCAGGGATGTGACGTTGACGTTATACTCCCTGACACTCTCCAAGTTCGAAACTGGGAGCGACCAGGAAACGCTCAAGGACTTTTCCGTCAGAGCTTCGACTTCCACGTTTTCCGGCGGACTTGGGAGCAGTTCTACCAAAATACCGACGTTAGGTTTATCCCTGATAGCACAGTTTATTCTAAGAATGTTTTTTAAACCTTCCAGTGGGAATATTCTTAGGATCATGCTATATTTCTTCTAGTCATGTTCTAAGAATGTTTTTTAAACCTTCCAGTGAGAATATTCTTAGGATCATGCTATATTTCTTCTAAAGAACATGCTTAAAAGAAATATAGCATAATCCTAAGAATATTATCACTGGCCTATAGGCAGGTTCTTAGAAGGTGCAAAGTTTAGTGGTAAAAATTAATCCACTCTAAACATATGCTTAGAATGTTGAGAAAGTAATTGTTATAGAAAGTTCATTTAGGAATATTCCTGGAACATTCTGTTAAGCATATTCAGTTCAGTTAGGTACCTATATACTAGTAAAATATACCATAATCTACGTATAAAGGTACCTATACTTAGTATTAAATACTAAGTAAAAAACACAACCCAAAATATTTTTTTATAGTTATTTGTCAAATTAAAACAATATTCGATAACAAAAATACTTTTACTATAGGTATCTAAATTATCCGGCTTTTACATAAAATCTTTTATCCAGCTTAAATACAATGAAAAATGTTTTTTATGAAGAACTATTTGGTTTTTTCTTTTATGAAGAATTATTTTATCAGGAAATATTTTGGTTTTTTATATTTTATTTTATGTTAAAAATAAATAAACTATCTTCAACTTCAATCTAACTGACTTATCCCACAAAATGTTCCAATTTTACTTTTTATGAAATAATGTCATACAACTTATGGTTCAGAGATCAAATTGTTTATTTAATATTTTTAAATAAATATATATTAATATGTCCCAAATTTTTTTAAGGGGACGACAAATACATTTCACTGTCATATTATGACAGTGAGGCGTATTTGTCGCCTCCTGAAGAATTTTACGAATGTAGAATCCAACATATTAGAACGTGGGTATCTGACATATTTGGAAATATTATTAAAAGCTTCCTAGAAGCTCCATAAGAAACCCTCTAAGAACATTCCAAAAACGTATTCTTAAAATGTTCTTAGATTGGTTTTTAGGGAGGTTTTAAGAAGCTTCTAAGAATCTAATTGCATCATTAAAAGGGTATCTATTGAATGTTTTAAAAGTCCCTAAGAACATTCTTAGCAATAAGGGAAGGTTCTAAGAATATTCCATTATTCCGGGTCATATCTTCTTAGAAAATTCTTAGAATCAAATTTTGCTATCAGGGATACAGGGTGTCATATACAACTTATTTAAAGATTACTTACCTATTCCTTCAACTATACAGGCCAATGTTTGTTCGGTATAGGCGGAGCATGAAAAATGCGTTTTAATGTTGTCCGTAATGGCGGTGTATTCCCCTCTACACACATCCTGGCATATATCGGGAACCCTTTCCTGTATACAGCAGGGCACGTGGTTACGGCCATCTGCCATGCATTTTACAATGGCGGGAAAATCGTTCTCGCAATTTTCCGGATCCTGACCTGTGTTTCCTAAGCAAACAGTAAATATTTTGCCAAACACCTTGTACGAGGTGTGTTCAGAAAATAACGGGAATTGTTAAATTTCGCGGGTTCGGAGGGTCCGGTTGTCATAAAATTTTCTTTATTACGTTGGTATACATGCCCCCGAAGTATGATAAAAACTTTAGCTGTTTTCATTGTTTACTTTGTCTGTGGCAGCCGCTAAGGTTAGACGTATGAGCTCGGCGATTTTTCGTTCGTTAAAAGAAATGGATCAAAGAATTTGTATCAAATTTTGCTTAAAAAATAAAATAAATTCTGTGAAATGTTAACAAAGGCCTATATATAGTGAGTCTGCTATAAGTAAAACAAGAGTTTACAAGTGGTATAAGAGTTTCCAAGATGGCCGTGAAGACGTTGAAGATGTCGAACGCTCCGAACGCACAAGCGCATTAACAACCGATAAAAACATGGAAAAAGTGAAAGAAATGGTTATAAACCATCAGAGAAGTCGCTGATGATGTTGGTATATCGATTGGCTCATCCCATGAAATTTTTTCGAATGTTTTGGGTATGAAACGCGTGGCAGCAAAATTTGTTCTAAAATTGTTAAATTTTGAACAAAATTTTTGGCCAAAAACAATACTGTAATGATGCCCCAGCCTCCATATTCGCCAGACATGCCTCTGTCTGACTTTTTCCTATTCCCAAAAATAAAGAGAACCTTAAAGGGCCGTCGTTTTGCAAGCATAGATGACATTAAAAGCGCATCGCCGAAAGAACTAAAGGCTATCCCAAAGATTGAGTTTTAGAAGTGTTTCGAGTATTGGAAGAAGAGCTGGCACATATGCACAATATCCAATGGGGACTATTTTGAAGGCGACAACATTAATGTAGACGAATAAGTAAATATTTGTTTCAAAAATCTAAAATTCCCGATATTTTCTGAACACACCTCGTATAAGTCACTTACCTTCCAATATGCTTTGAATGTTGCAGAAACCTAAACAATCCGAAGAAACATTCTGTGATATGCAACAGGTGGTGTAGTTGTGATTTCTGCTGTTGAAGTTTGGTTGCTTCTCGTCAATTGTTGTAACATCCGTGGTATTATTTGGCGGTAAGATACTTTTCGATAATACTAGAAAAATATAAAACTTACAGTATTTTCCAAAAGGGTGCGAAAAAAAACATTTTACCACTGAGCTTGTGAAAACTTCTGACAATGGGGTTACTGTTAACCTCGCAAACATATATTCCTGAGTCGGATGGTTTTGGATTTTTAATAAATAACACCCACACATCCCCACCAGATGGAATTGGAGTCGATTCTATAAAAAATACTTGTTTAGTACTAATCCAAGTAGCACATCTGTTAAATTTAACTTCTTGGTTAATGTCCCTATCTTTTGGTTAAAAAGAAGTTAATATTTGGTGGCTTTTGGTTTATTTTACCCTTTTTTAACTATTTTAGTAAATTTACTATAATTATTATTATACTATATTTTAATAATTTTTAAGTTTATTTTAATGTACTCGTAGCCTAAGCAAATTATATTTAAATCAAGTGAATTTTTTAAAGAATATATTCTTACATTTAGAAGGATGACAACTTATTTGGTAACACCCTGTATAAGTAAACTTTCTTAATACAATAAAGTATTGGGTGGAAGATCATTAGGAGAATAGCTGCAATATAAATTCCTAAAATATTGGAATCCATTGAATTAAAGGGAGGGAACATTCTTACAGCAAAACTTTGACGGTTATTAAAAAAATTATTACATTCTATTGAACGTGTATTAATATTGATTAAGCCGAGGGTTTCAAGCAAAATGCATAATAAAGAAACTCAAACAACTCTTGCAAAACTAAAATGAAGGCTGAAAGCAGTATTTTTTTTTCTTTTTTGTACATACCTACCTATAGGTACAACCAAACTGCAAATAATGTTATTAAAAATGCATCCTTTAATATTTGGCCCGAGAAACGTAGATTTTATATGGGGAGCACTTTATATTTTTAGCGTTTTCACGGTTTGAATTGCAAATTGATCTTTACATAAGATACTACTCATATTCAAAAGTATAAAGTAGGTATCGAAGGAATTTTTATAGAAAAGTTTTACGTTACAATGCCCTTATAAATGGCCGGGTAAACAACATAAACTTTTATAGTGCATTATAATATTGAAATATACATTGTTTTTATTTAAATAAGCGCTTTTTTGTATTAATAAAGTTGCCAAGTTTCTACTTATTTGAATTTTTATTATTCTGTATATCTTTCAATGTTTGTTTATTGAAATAAGCTAAGTACTGCATTTGTTCTTCTTCCTTGGTCAGAAATTTCTAATCTAACCTTATAGTCAATTTTTGAAATAACCTAAATTTAAGTACAGTTAATTTTTTTTATTCGGACAGTGTGTGGTATAAATGTGTTCCTCATGGTTTAAACATTGCCACTTTAATAGGTTTTAAATTTAATTCTGAAAACAAACAGTAAAATGGCCAGTGTCCAGTTGGTAAAAAATGTAAATTTCTATTATTGGACATATGTCCAATATCATACTCTATTTGTATCCCGGACAATTACCAGCCAATTCTTATGTAAAATTGTCCCCTGAATCCAAAAAGACCGTCAAAAACTATAAAAGTTAAGCAGTTTTCGAGATATAGTCAATTCCATATTATATGCAAAATTGATTATATTTCAAAAACTGTTCTACTTTTATAACTTTTGACGACATTTTCGGATTCAGCGAATAATATTTCATAGGAATTGACTGCTAAATATCCTGGATACAAATTGCTGTTGATGAGAATAATTAGTGGCTGCTTTTTCGCTATGACATTTTTGACTAATTCATTTTTAGAAAGTAAGTAATATAGTGATTTCTTCGTCACAGGACATTTTGCAAAATAACAGTGATTTAAATGCAGTTTACTAATTAATAAGTTCTATATAAATCATCCTGTTCCGGCCTAAACATTATACAAACATATATTTGCATCAAATTATTTCAGAAGTCAGACCAAGGAATTAATAGTTCAGCCATTCCACGCTACTCGGGAAATTTTGTAGCGTCCGTTACAATCAAAAATTGTGATTAAAAGCTACCGTAATTAAATTAGGTAGGAGTGGATTATCCTATCTATTTTGCTCTATCAGTCTTGGAAAAAAAGATATAGTATAACCCACTCTTTACCTTTTGAAATAAACATTGTCATTATATCCTAACCTTTATTTAAAGTAGAGCAAAAGTTAAAAAAAAGAATAGACAATATTTGAAACAATTATTGCTTAACCTACATAAAGATACTTTATATTTAATCCAAAAGTAAATATTGTATCGCCAAGAATTATAACATTTGTATCAAAAAATACTTATTCTTAAATTAAGGATCGTGTATATTTTATTTGAGGGTGGACTGAGATGATTAATCTTTAATATAGAATAGCTAGTAATAAAACAGTACAAAAATGACTTTCTACAACATCAATGTTAACTATCAATATTTTTCCATTTCCATTAGTCAATTCAAAGTTTCCAGAGTAAAAAATCGAGATTTAATTTTAGATATCTCCGGTAAATTTTGCAGTTAGCCCCCGATGATTGATTCAAATATTCTAATTTCACGAATCCATTATTGCCGCCCTCCGCATAATAAAATCACTAACATTCTCTAAAACCGTCCGACACTTAAAAATTTTAAGAACCCGCGTAGTGCATTCCAACAATTTAATATTAAAAGTCGTTGAAAAATTCAATTTCAATGTTTGAAGGAAGATCTCTCAAGATTTTCAAGCACACAGTTGAGCTTAAAGTTAAAGGATTGGTAGAAAAAAACCTTATTTGTAAATTACATGCGTTTCGGGGGTGCGTGCAAACTTACCCTCGGCATTAGGAGGCGTTCTGTGCGATTTAACATGACCTAAAATCACATCAAATATTTGTCAACCCTTATTTAGCTAACCCATGCTAAAAATTTACATTTGTAATACAAAAGCATGTTAAAGTCTTCAACATTGCAAAATTTTATCTTATAATGATTTTGACATTCTTAAATGTGGTTTAAACGTATGATACATTAAATTTGACAATCTACTCTAAATGTGTTTTTGACAGTTTTAACTTTAAATATTAATAAAATCAGTCTTGACGTTCTAAAATTTGATTTTGTGTTTACGACGTTTAAATACGTTCTTGACAATCTAAAATATGTTTTTGACATATTATATTTGACAATCTAAAGTTTGTTTTTTATTAAAAATTGTGTGTTTGACATTATAAATATTTTTACTTCCTATAATGAACTAATATGTTTAAATCAAAATGTGTTTTTGACGTTTAAATATTTTCTTGACATTCTAAAATGTGTTTTTGACATACTTATCATAAGTATGTCATATATCATATTATATTTAACAATCTAAAAGGTGTTTTGACAATCTAAAGTGTGTTTTTCATTAAAAATTGTGTGTTTGACAATCATAGTTTTTAACTTCCTACAATGGAATATGTTTAAATCAAAATGTGTTTTTGACAGTTTTAACTTTAAATATTAATAAAATCAGTCTTGAAGTTCTAAAATTTAATTTTGTGTTTTTGACATTTAAATATGTTTATTCCAAATTGTTTGTTTGATATTATCAATGTTTTTGACTTCCTATTAAGAACTAATATGTTTAAATCAAAATAAGTTTTTGACATTTAAATATGTTCATGACAATCTAAAACGTGTTTTTGACATACAAATCTTGATTTTGAGACATTATATTTGACAATCTAAAGTTTGTTTTTCATTACAAATTGTGTTTGACATTATTAATGTTTTTGACTTCCTATAATGGACAAATATGTTTAAATCAAAATGTGTTTTTGACAATTTTACGTTTAAATATTAATAAAATTAGTTTTAAAGTTCTAAAATTTGATTTTGTGTTTTTGACATTTAAATATGTTCTTGGCAATCTTAAAGTTATATTGATTAATTCCAAATTGTTTAAATAAAAATGTGTTTTTAACAGTTATAACTTTAAATATTAATAAAATTAGTCTTAAAGTTCTAAAATTTGATTTTGTGTTTTTTTGACATATAAATATGTTCTTGACAATCTAAAATATGTTTTTAACACAGTATATTCGACAATCTAAAAGGTGTTTTGACAATCTAAAGTGTGTTTTTTGTTTTAAATTGTGTTTTTGACATTATTAATGCTTTTGACTTCGTATAATGTGTTTTTGACAATTTTAAGTTTAAATATTAATAAAATGAATCCTTAAGTTCTAAAATTTGATTTTGTGATTTTGACATTTAAATATGTTTTTGATTGATTATATTTAAAAATCTATAAGATGTATTGACAATTTAAAGTGTATTTTTTATTCCAAATTGTGTGTTTGACATTATCAATGTTTTTGACTTCCTGTAATCCAAAAAAATGTTTAAATTAAAATGTGATTTTGACAATTTTAGGTTTAAATATTAAAAAAATGAGTCTTGTTTTTCTAAAATTTTATTTTGTGTTTTAGACATTTAAATATGTTCTTGACAATCTAAAAAGTGTTTGACACAATATTAAGTGTGTATTGACAATCTATAGTGAGTTTTTCATTCCCAATTGTGTGTTTGATATTATCAATATTTTTGACTTTTTTGACAATTTTAAGTTTAAATATTAATAAAAAGGAAGTTATAAAATTTGATTTTGTGTTTTTGACATTTAAATATGTTCTAGACAATCCAAAATGTGTTTAGACATACCTATCATGATTTTGAAATAATATATTAATTGTCAAATTTTGACAATCTAAAGTATGTTTTTTATTACAAATTGTGATCTTGACAACTTTAAGTATTAATAAAATGAGGCTTGAAGTTCTAAAATTTAATTTTGTGCTTTTGTCATTATAATATGTTCCTGACAATCTAAAATGTGTTTTTGACATAACTATGATGATTTTGACATATGATTTGACAATCTAAAAGGTATATAAAGTGTATTTTAATACCAAATTTTGTGTTTGACATTATCAATGTTTGGACTTGCTATAATGGACAAACATGTTTAAATCAAAAAGCGATTTTGACAATTTTAAGAAAGGAGGGGTAACTTTCTAGAAGTTTTTTGTTAGTTAACCATTACATATTCTTACCTGAATCGTGTAGGACACCGAAACGTTTGTCAGCTGTCACACGCGTCTCTCCTGCTGTCAAAACGCGCATGCTGTGCCTTTCGCGATCTTCCTTTTTCCACATGACCGTATTTTTTCCGATATCTCTCACCACACACGTGATGAGAGCGTCATCACCTTCGTAGACGTGAATGGGGTTGGTGAGACTGTCCCTCATGCTCGGCAACCCTGACGAAAAAAAAACAAGATAATTTAGTTTCTCGAATAAAAATTTACGATTTGCGCTATAAATTACGTTTTTCGCGAAAAATAAAAATATTCTAATTTACTAGCTGCCTTATCGCTATTCGTAGGTCTAGCGAGCAAAGTTTCAGACATAACTATCAGCGGTGAACAGATAAGGGAAATCCTAAACCCAAACTTCAAGCCACGGCTCTAATTATATTGTTTATGAACTACCTTCGGAAACAAAAAAGAAAATCACCGAACTAGTCAGAGCTCTAATTTAGGTAAATAATTAACAAGGTCTTATACATAGTACTTTATGACGTTTTTACTGTTCTTTGGAAAAAATTACCTTACAGATATAAAAGCGTAAGCATTGAGTTTCCAAGTCTTATATATAGATAAGTTATAATGTTTTTTTACCTTAAGCTCTAATGTGAGTGATTATTAATGTGATTATCGACCATTATTTACATTTAACAAACAAAATAATTAATTTAATGAAGCAAATCAATCGGAAACCCCATTCGTCTCCCGTTACAATGCTCATTAAACATTATACATTATAAAATACATTGCGGTATCCTAAAACCATTGATTCGGAATAATCATTCCTACCCAGTGTAGGTATGATCATAATAATGAACCGATATTATTCAATTTGGATTTTAATTAAAGCCTGAAGAGAGAGTTTTCCTAGATTAATACCTATACGAGGTGTGTTCAGAAAATAACGGGAATGGTTAAATTTCGCGGGTTCGGAGGGTCCGGTTGTCATAAAATTTTCTTTATTATGTTGGTATACATGCCCCCGAAGTATGATAAAAACTTTAGCTGTTTTCTTTGTTTACTTTGTCTGTGGCAGCCGCTAAGGTTAGACGTGTTTTATGAGCTCGGCGATTTTTCGTTCGTTAAAAGAAATGGATCAAAGAATTTGTATCCAATTTTGCTTAAAAAATGAAATAAATTCTGTGAAATGTTAACAAAGGCCTATAGTGAGTCTGCTGTAAGTAAAACAAGTTTACAAGTGGTATAAGAGTTTCCACGATGGCCGTGAAGACGTTGAAGATAACGAACGCCCCGAACGCACAAGCACATTAACAACCGATAAAAACATGGAAAAAGTGGAAGAAATGGTTATAAACCATCAGAGAAGTCGCTGATGATGTTGGTATATCGATTGGCTCACCCCATGAAATTTTTTCGAATGTTTTGGGTATGAAACGCGTGGCTGCAAAATTTGTTCTAAAATTGTTAAATTTTGAACATAATTTTTGGCCAAAAACAATACTGTAATGATGCCCCAGCCTTCATATTCGCCAGACATGCCTCTGTCTGACTTTTTCCTATTCCCAAAAATAAAGAGAACCTTAAAGGGCCGTCGTTTTGCAAGCATAGATGAAAGAACTAAAGGCTATCCCAAAGATCGAGTTTTAGAAGTGTTTCGAGTATTGGAAGAAGAGCTGGCACATGTGCATAATATCCAATGGGGACTATTTTAAAGGCGACAACATTAATGTAGACGAATAAATAAATATTTGTTTCAAAAAATTAATCTGTTCCCCTAGTACTGGTACTACTTGTACCCTAAAGAATTAAGAATTAATCCCGGAGAATCCGCCATTTTTGCAACAAAATTAAGCGCTTTTAAATTTCTCTGTCTTGTTTTTTGTTAAGAGCAGGGCTGTGTTTAAATTACAAAAAAAGACCGTCAAAAACTAAAAAAAATAAGCAGTTTTTGAGATATAGTCAATTCCATATTATATGTAAAATTGATTCTACTGATTTCTACTTTTATAACTTTTGACGACATTTTCGGATTCAGCGAATAATATGTCATAGGAATTGACTGCTAAATGTCCTGGATACAAATTGCTGTTGACGAGAATAATTAGTGGCTGCTTTTTCGCTATGGCATTTTTGACTAATTCATTTTTAGAGAGTAAGTAATATAGTGATTTCTTCGTCACAGGACATCTTGCAGTATAACAGTGATTTAAATACAGTGCATGATAGAGAACATAAAAAACGAATGGCAACAAAATTAATAAATTCGGAAAATACTTTTAACGTACCACCCGAAAAAATATTAGATATATATAAATCATCCTGTTCCGGCCTAAACATTATAAATGCTTCACAAACTAGAGGAACCACACTTAATGATATTTGCAACAACTATTTCAGAAGTCAGACCAAGGAAATAGTAGTTACCTTCAGAATCCAGAAAAGTGATGAGGAATCCGAGAAAGAAATATATATGATATTTACAAAAACGAAATAAAAAAAATTACCTAAAAAAGCAATTTATCTTTAAAAAATATTTAACAATTTATGTTATTTGATGTAAAGTTGTTATGTGTATATAAAAATTGTATGTCCAATAACTATGTGTCCAATTACTATATAAAATGTCCAATTACTACTTTTTTGCATGATTTTTTAAAACTATTAATAAAAATTCAAATGTTCTTTATTTTTTAAAGTTTAAACAAACAAACTATTCTTTTTAGGTGTCCAATAACTATGTGGTTTACCCTAATAATAATAATAATAATGATGGACAGATAGTATTTAATTCAGGAGTTTTAATTAAAGCCCGAAGAGGGAATTAATATTGGCAGAAAACCTTCACCCCACCTCCCACCCCCTTATTTGCAATTAGTTGCTCTCCAAATGAAGCCCCGTCTAATTGAAAAAAGTAAAACGATTAAAAGGGACTTAATTCGTTTTTGAGGCGCGAAAGAGACATTAAAGCAACTTTGTGGCTATTCCTTAATCATCATTCTTAATCAAGAGAAGTATCCCACATTATATAGACAAAGCAGCGGCTTCTCAAAGTATACAGAAAGAACCAAGACTTACTCAGTATAGGTAACAAAACGTTAGGTGTAGACCTAAGATATTGTATTTTCATTTTTGGTGTAAACAGAGTGCGGAAGTGGGGGAATATCGCTTCAACGCCAACAACGCTGCAGAGTCATGTCATGTCACATATTGCTTGGTTATTGAAAGAAACATTTAAACCAAAAACTAATCGACCCTTTTATCCCAGCAAATTTTATAAAACACCAATCGCATTAAATCGGCCGCTTAATATACCCCACTTAATAAAGTTAGTCTCTTCAAACTTCATTACATCAATTGATGCGACCATTCCAAGCCCTATTAACTTTTATTTACTTACTCCATGCCCAAATGTTTAGCCTGCTTTTGCGCCTTGCCTCAAAAACACACCGATAAAATTCAGTTTTTTTAAATTATATAGGTTCATGTGGCAACGTTGCATATAAATTTGATTCATTTATATTTCGAAAAAGTTTAGGATGAGATTCTGATTATTATTTTAGTTTGTTTTCATTTTAGCTTGTTACTTTTTTAGTTAGTCTTTATTTTAGCTTGACAACATTTAAACTTGTCAATATTTTAGTTTGTCATTATTTTAGCTGGTCATCATTGAAGTGTGAAATCATTTTAACTTGTTTTCTTTTAGGTTTATTATTTTAGCTGGCCATCATTTTAGTTTGTCATTATTTTAGCTGGAAATCATTTTAGTTTGACATCATTTAACCTTGTCACCATTTTAAGGTGATTTTTTACGTCTATTATTTTATCTTGTAGGTAGTTTAGTTTGCATTTATTTTAGCTGGTCACCATTTAAGCTTGTTCCTTATGTACACTGCAGGTTTTTAAAGTCTCTAGCTAGATTTGTCGAGTTGTAAAAATATAAAGTCTTGTGCTTATTTAATGTCATTATTTTAGCTTGACAACATTTAATGATGTGATCATGTTAGCTTGTCAATGTTTTAGTTTTTACTTTACTTGAAACTGTTCTAGCTTGTCAATTGGGTATAAATAGTTTACTTTGTTAATATTTAAAAATCATGTTTGTGTTAAAAAACAATTATATGCGAGCAATTGAAGTCCCTAAAACCCTTATAAAATATTTAAAACGCGTTTAAAAACCACTCTCGAAGGACAAGGGTCGAGTCGAGGGCATAAAAAAATATCCAGTTTCCCATTCCCGGGCTCATATTTTATGCCACGCCGTTGGATTTCGGAACAATTAGCGTAGAGAACGCATCGCAATAAAGTCGTAGATCACCGCTGCAAATGTCCCCGTATAACGTATGTTCGCTATATACGACAAACGACAAAAAATATTCATTAAAGAACTGAACGAATTAAATACGTTGGAAACAATGCTTTGAAAGGAAAAAATAAATAGTGTAAAATGTAAATTCGCAGGCAAAAATGTCATGAACAGATGATATTGTTTGGAATAAACTCCGGCTTAATTATTTTATCACATAATACAAAATATAAACTTCGAAATTAACTATAACCTGTACACAACCTGATTAAAAACCACCTCTACCTACTACTCTACGAACATAAAATAAACTTTCGTGCGGTAATACCTTTGTTACACCATGGCGGGTTTTCGGTAAGCGGATCCTCCTGTAATATGGGTAATTCCGACCGCATTTTTTAAATTAAGTTATGAGGTTTTAGTTTTCTAATTTGCCAAAGCTATAGTTTGGGATATTAAATTTTCAGTTCATAAGAAATATAAGTGATATTAAAAACGCAACACTTAGATCGATAACAAAAAATTTGTTAAAATTCATTATTTGAACATGTTATTTAAGTTTTAAGTCACTTTACTTGTCATTATTCAAGCTTGTCATTATTTTAGCTTAGCAACATTTAATCTTGTCAATATTTTAGTTTGTCTATGTTTAAGCTTGTTATTATTTTAGTTTGCCATTATTTTAGGTGGTCATTATTTTAGTTTGACATCATTTGAGCTTGTCATCATTTTAACTTGTTTTCTCTTAGACTTATTATTTTAGCTTTTTGGTACCTATTTTAGTTTGCCGTCATTATAGCTGGTCATTATTTTAGCTTGTCCTCATTTAAGAATATAGTCACTTTACCCTGTCCTTATTTAAGCTTGTCACTATTTTAGAATGACAACATTTAATCTTGTCATCATATTA